GATCCACTAGAAGCCGTGGGCCTTGGCGGTCTGCCAGTGATGGAGGTCAGTGGCAGCCGAGATCTGCAAGAATACTATGTTTAGTTCTGCCGGTTTCTGGTCGTAGGGTTCATGTTTGTTTGGGTTTGTGCTGTTTGGACTGAGGGACTGCTGTTGGCTGGTTGTGTGGCCATTCCAAGAAAGACCTTTGATGTGCCCAGAAGCACTAGACAATTGAAGATGTGAAGTATATTTATATATATATATATATTAATTACGTTTCCATGCCATGTTCAGAAGAGATGCACGCTTTTATCCTTCAAACGGCACAATTTTGCCGGATGCATGTTCCAGTGAAAAGATGCTGTAATCCCAAAAACATGCTGCTCTTGGGGTTGCAAGTATGCGCTCAAACGGGGAAAGACGCCGTTTGGACACCTAAAGAAACCGTTTGCAGGCCTAAACATGCCGTGTCTTTTTGGTTTCCGCCAGGGTCGCAACCAAAAGATGCCGTGTCTTTTTGGTTTAAAGGCGCACTTTGATCGGCAAAAGGCCATGCTTTGACTCTGATCTATTGATATTGCAGTATTTGATCAGTCGCTGCACCAGCGGCGTTTCACCAGAAAACCCATGGGATCCGTTTCATGGAGACAGTCCCGCAAGCGACAGGACCTGAAACACTCCCTTTCAGCGTTAAACTGAAAACTGAAAACCCCGAGTCTTCCAATTCTCTGTCCATGCCTCTGTCCAAGGACCCTCGGCGGCAAGAATCACATACACCGACTTCAAACGGCACCTCCCGCCCATCCCCTTTTCCAAACTACTCCGCTAACAGCTCGGTCGCAGACGGTGCAAACCACCACGCGATCGTCGACGAGATCAACGTGCCGACGACGAGGGTCGTTGTTCGCTGAACAGTTTGTCGACTCCTGCCTTTGAGGATCCTCCCCCTTCCCCCCCGCTCCGGGTTTAATTCAAATCGTCCATGTCGAAGAGGTGTCCTCCACCCAACCATTGAAGTAAGAAACTCCCCAAAAATCCACCACGAGCTGTCGGGGTTTGGGGAACTCCCGTTTTCCTCGCTCCAGGGTTGGGGAAACTCCCGTCGGAACTCAGGAAGAATCTATGGAGACCCCCGGCTCCCAAAAACACCTTCGGAATTGGTACCAGCTCGCGCCCTGTAATATTAAAGTAATAAAAAACTATACCATAACTATATGCCATGCCATAGTTCATCCATTTACTTGTGACTTTCTCCGCCTCGTCGCCGGAGGACGTTTCTCCGTGGAGACTTCAAAGCTCCGTTTCGCTGCTGAACGGCGTTCGCTTCAGAGCGCCGTAGGTCCGGTGGGCACGTTCCGGTGGGCACGGCAGTGTGGCACGTTCAGGCGCGTGAAGATGTGTCTTCGAGTGATGTTTTTGAGTGTTTTGAGATCTCAAGCACCAAAATAAATCAATCTCGTCTCTCAACATCTTCCACACTCCAAAGCCCCGGCTGTCCCTGTTAAAAGATTCAACTGTCATCGCAGCGTGCCCATGAGATTCTCCTGGCTCATCTCAAGAAAGGGCAATCCTACCGTCAGAGGATGGCGTGTCTAAGGAAAGAAGTATGAATTTTGGAGGAGTTCACAATAATCCACCCAACAAACGACCACGACTTGTGACCCCTGCCACATCGAACATGAAAGTAAACAGGATTCTCGCCTGCAGCCTAGCCTTCGTCACAACAGGGACTTGATTTGGGGGTCCAATTGATCAAACTGCAGCACCAAATCCATCTTGCACAATCCATCCTGCACCGCCTATCTAGCAAAAGAAATGGGAACTTCAGGAAGCAAACAAAGAACCTGCGACCCTTTGGGCAAGTTCAGCACATCGAAAATGGTTTGATTCAAGTCTTGATATCCTGCATTTCCCTAACATGTGTTGTAGGCACAAACATGTTTCAACGATCTTGTCCCAAACCCCATCAACCCGATGAGGAACATCTCTTCCTGTACGAGAAGCTGTCGAAATAGACGTGACCAGCTGAGCACGCTGCTGCAAAAGGAGGAACCATCTGCAAGATCCATTCTGTACTATCGTGTCCAGCCTAGGCGCTCAAATATTAAATCAGCCGCTGGGCAATTGCAGCGGGTGAGGAAATCAGATCTAATCTATTTATGTGCAGTACATCCAAGCAAGCGCTTGGAAATGCTCCAGCAAACGTACAACCTCAGAACTCTCTCCAAGGAACCTTCACACTCAGCCAACTTAGAACTGGCTATGTATTCTTTTTACCGTAGTCGGGCCGGGAAGTTTGAATAGGTGGTATGATTCGGGGGTATGATTCGAGGGTATGATTCGCAGCTTTGAAATTGCATTGTTGCATTGGCTGGACTTGATGGGTGGGAGACTGTGTGGAGGTGCGTGAACCCAGGGTCACAGGAACAAACATATCCTTGCTCACAACGTGCCAAAACGAGAAGCATGCCAGGCATGGCTGTGTCTTTTGCTCACAAACTGTGAGGACTGGAGGATTCTCTGACTGCCTTTAGAGTCTGACTGCCTTGAGGACAGGATCAAAAAACGGATCTTGCAAACAACTTCTTTGCTGTATCAGATACGGCTTGTCCCAGGCATACCTCTCCTCGAGCTGCACGTTCCACAATTTGTCCTATCAATGGATCCATCATTCCTCATGCAAGCTCACTTTGGGGCAAACAGCTATTGCAAAGAATAGTATGTTCTCCTTGATGACACAAACTCATCCTCAGCTCCTGGGATAAGCGTGACAGCGACATGCCTACCCTGCCCGAAACGTGCCACTGTGCTTCAGTCGGCTCGCTTGAAAACGGGGAAGCCATGGTGGGACTGAGGTCCAGGGAAACCAACCAGTGGCCATAATGAAACATCTACTCCTGTCTATTCCAGCGTCTTGAGTGTATGTATGATGTATCGATTAGCCACCATGACACAAACAGCTTCCAAGAAAGGGGAAGACAGCGGCCACTGTGTTTGTTCACCCCAGCTTCGGTCAAACATTACTGCGAGGCAAGGCCCCGCCAAGCTATGCACAACTTGTGTCCAAGACCAGCGGCGCAACAGCGGTCAACGGTCAACGGGAGGAATCGTCCCGAGTGAAGGACGTGAGTGAACAACACGATCGAAAGACGTGAGTAAAACGACCCTCCCCGAAACAAATGCGAATGAGTCCTTGTCATCAGGCGATCGAAACAATTGACTACCAGGTGGGGGGCCGAGTGTTGGTTTGTTGGAGGGTATTCATGTGGAGAGTCTCACAAGCTCTTCATGTCAGCTCAGATTAGGCTTGAACATCTGCTTGGAACACTCAACACGTGGCTGTGGGTCCAAACCTGGAGCCCCAAATCCTCACATCTCAACAAAAAGAGAAATCTGTCTGTTCATTTGATCCGCGGTCAGAACCTCAAAACATACTTCCTTCTAGAGTTCGAGATCTGCTCATACTCCTAGATCTTCCAATCTGTGCAAAATAATGCAACATGCTTGCTTTGTTGAAGCTTTAATCTATCAAAGCAGCCAAAAGGCAGACATCTTGCATATTACTATATAAAATTGTATAAAATATAATATATATATATATATTGCAAATACTATAATATAATCGATAGACTTTTCTTGTCCCATCCATCCACACTGTCGCAACGATTCCTGCTAGTCGACCAAGTGGACACTCCGGACTGTGACGGGGGCGGTTTGTCTTTTTTCTTTTGTTCGGCGCCGAATGAGGTGCCAAGACGACCAAAGCAACACATGCGACACTCTGACCCACTTAACCTGGAAGTGGATGGCATAGGCATAGCCCCAAAAAGAACAAGTTGTTCTATTTTTGCTTTGTGAACAGGGGGTGCCATCCATGTCCATGTTTGTGAGTGGGAGTGGATAGTGGATTTTGAAAGTGGAATGCATCTTCGCAGATGCCTCTTTAATAAACCCCATGTGTGTATGGTGTGTGTGTGTATTGAATATTTAAGTTGTTTCCATGTATAAATTTGGATCTAATCAGGCAACATCAAATGTTACCAAAAGCATCACATTGGTGACCAAAAGTCAATGCAACCTGCTTCGCAAACTTTTGGTGTCCAACGAAGAACATGTTCGTGGGCCATTCCAGGTGACCTTCCAGGTCTGGATCCAGTTGGGTTCCAGGACTAGAAAGGCATCCAACACCAGCTGACACACCATGTTTGGTAGGACATCATCCACTGCAGGGCTCAGCAGGGTCTTACCTTCCTCACTGTGGCGTCTCACGTGTTCGCGCCACCCGGCAATATCGATCCCATGAACCATCCAACCCTCTGACCGTGCCTGCGGGCGAAGGACGGAAGGACCACCGGACCACCCGGGGTGCCCTGAACGAACCGACCGGGGGGGGGGGCCCATGAAGCGAAACGAAATGCATGTCGACTCGTCTGGCGCCATGCGAACGACCGCCCGTCCCCGTCCGTTTCTCCGTCTCCGAAGCCGGGCTTCGTCTCCGACGATGCGGTCTGAGGCCACCGTGGCCTCAGAGGTGGGAAGAGGACCGCAACGGTGTTTCTTCGAGGAGCCGATGGTCTCAGCTGGGACAAGTGAGTCACACCTGCATGGAAGGATACATTCATTAATATGAATTATTAATATATACCTGGACCGCCTGGACCATCCTGTTTGGGTGTCCCATGGAGATCCCCAAGCAGTGCAGGGTAGTCTACTGGACACCCATTGGATGAGCCAGGTAAAAATTTGTCAATCTGCGTTTTCAGTTCTCAACAATACTCCGCTTTGCAGCTTTGTTTGTTGACAAAGACGCTGAACAATGTGTCCGCCTGTTTCATTGACATTGAATGGCATTGACATATTGCCACCTTAAACATCCTTCAACTCTTTGAAACGAAATGGCAAGTAAACCGCCTCTGGGCGCGCCTGCAAGCCTTTTTCATTCCCTGTCTAAGTATCTCGAACCTCGCCACCCGCCACCCTTTGCCACCCTTTGCCACCACGGCACCGTTCACATCTCGTCACGAGGCACCAGCAAGGGCGCTGTCGGCTTTGTCACCTTTCTCCTGGAAGGCAAGGCACTTGGGCCCCGTGGGCCCCGTGACTCGACTTGCAGGCGAGTCCAATGAACACACCCTTTCAGTGTTGGGCACTCATGCAATATATACCCTAGGGATCCAAGTACCTTCTCAGAAGGTGATTGGAGACACTGTTATGTAGGTTTGGAGGGTCCAAGTACCTTCTGAGAAGGTACTTGGATCCCTGGAGATAGGTTGTTCCAAGACAACGTTCAACGAGCGCCGGAAGCGCTTCGCTGCTTGGAGACGGAGCTTGGGAGGTTCGGCTAACTTCCCAGCATTCCTGATAGTTGAGAACTTGTTCAAAGAGGCTACCGGACTGCAATCCCAAAGCATCCCAGACCTGTACAGGGTAGGTGCAACATGGTACAACGAAGTGCAAGATAGAAGCCACAGCGAAGTGTCCGTGTCCCTTTCACCTGCCAGGGGTAACACCGGTTTGATTCGGTCTCCCTGTTTGGGCGAAGGAGCGGTCACAACGCAGGCGAGGACTGACGGACTGAGCAATCTTCCTCGTAAACCAGGGAGAAACTCTGATGCTGTGATCCTGGTGAACCCGGCTTACCGTAAACAACGAAGCATCGATGACCTCGGCATCAAAGGATTCAGCAACCACTGTAGCGTGATTCCTGGGTTCTAAATGGTTCAGCAACAACAACAACAACACCGCCAAAAACGCCAACACCAGCAGCAACAGCACCACCAACAGCAGCAAGCAACAGCAACAGCAAGAAGAAGAACAAGAACATCAGCGCGTGGTGCATCGGTGCTTTTTCGAAACGGCTCGTGCACCCCCACCCGGCTGTGGTGTCGCTTTCGCCACCGGCGGAGTTTTCCGCGGAGCCACCGGTCGCCGTTGAGGGGCGACGGGAGGGGGGAGAGAGGGCCGGACATGCACATGCAGTGGTGATGTTTGGTGATGTTTCGCCTGAGATGAACAAATTCTGAAAGAGGTGAATGAGTATAATTCATGAATGGATTCCAGGGTACCTCATTGACTAATTAGCCCAAAGATGCACGGACAATGAGTCTTCAAGAATTTGGGGGGCAGTCGACTGACCAGTCTTTCCCATCGGGGCGATTCGGAAAACCAGCCAGTTTGAGACATGTTTAGGAGTGTCGAGGTCGCTGCTAGGAGGCTCCTTACAGCAAAAGCAAAGGCCATCCTGCTCACTTACAATGTCTGACAAAGCATGGGGAACACTGGGTTTTTTCACTGGTGAATGTACTCTGTGAACACTAGGGGCGGCTAGGCCTACTTTGGCCCTTGGCACCTTCTATGGGTATCGTCAACTGCTGCAAGGATTGCTTCGTGACCTGAAAACTGCCCTTTAGCCGTAAGCGTTAGGCGTCAGCATACAAATCATGCAGAATGTGCTCCTATGCATGTCGATGTGAAAACCACAAGAAGCACTACGAGTACAAGAAGCACATATTCGTTGCTAGTGGACTCTTGTCGATGCTCAATCCATGGTCTTTGATCGAAATCGCCAGGCCCCCTCGGGTTCTCAGTGAAACCAACGTGGCTGCTGAGCATGAGTGAATCCGGCAAATCCGGCCTCTGAGCTGAGCGGTTTTCCAATGGGGCAGGCTACACCAGGCGGCGAACAAACCGCCCGGCCTATGTCGGCCTCCCTGGTGTTCTTGAGAGATGGAGATGGTTGTTTCCACCTGTCCCAGTTTTGCAAGGCTAAGAGTCCGAGCATCTCCGAGCATATTCACCCCTGTAAATCCATCGATGTGCTGTCAGAGTGATGAGCTCCGAATACCTCGCATTTCATCTTCTAATGACAGTTGTGGCCCAAATCCCAAACACTCGGAATTCATCTGAATTCTAAATCTCCGGATGGATGACCAAACTCTCCCAGCCCGAAAATCAGAATCCCCCATCTAAGGGTCAAAGAATGTCAAAGAGGAAGTGTTTCTTGATCGAGGCTCTAAGGGGTTTTGTGGGTTGAACATGATTGAACATGTTTGAACCATGCCATATCCTATGCCGGATGGGCTTTTGACTTCTTGCAGCCCCCATGGATCTTCCCATGCCAGCCGCAGCTCTGAAAAAGCACTTGCAGTTTTGCCAGCTGCGAAAACAACGGTCATAGCGCTGCAGTGCTTCTTCGCTGTTGCACGGTCATGGGGCACCAGTCCCACATGAGGGGGTAGTGGTTAATCTAGATTTTGCAGTGAAACCGTGCGGAGAATGTCTGAGGCAAATCTTGGCACCGTTGCAACTGGCAGCTGAAATCTAAGACTCTCTTCATGCGCAACACCGTGGCTCTGCTATCACAGGACTTTCCAGCCTTTCCTCGGAGAAGCGTAAAATTTCACGCTGGGCTAGGCTCCGGAGTAGATGCCACAGGTGGGAGCCATGTCGACCATTTGAACAGAACAGGAATCCTCACCAGCCAAGAAAGTATAGGATCCTCAAGGTACTGTTTCAGTGATTGTACAGGTTAGGATTGCTCGGATGTTCATCAAGCTTCATCAATCAGGACTCCCAAAAGCTGATTTCACCAAGTGGACCCCATGGCAGCGAAACTGATCCGAAACCGCTTGTGGTCCTTCACCTTGCTTCGCGTTGCGAATCTTCTTCACCTATGCATTGCATATAATCGAGCCATCTACAGTTGTCGTCAAGCAAAACCACTTCGAGGTGCCACACCAACACTCGTTGCCATCCCCCTTTGCCCACCAATCCCTCGCTTCGACTCGAACGCACCGACCGTTCACACCGACCCATGACCCGACCGCACCGGACGACCGGTCATGGGATCGACGACGACGAAAGCACCGGGTGAGGGACGAAGAGACCGTGACCGTGTGACGAAGAGACGGTACGCCGAAGAGACCGCACCGTGGCGGATCATGTGTAGCCTCGGATCCAAATCGACCGGATCTATGGTCTATCATGGTCTATCTGTCTACATCTGAATCCACTTACTGAAGGTCGTACTTGGATCGAAGTGTCTGATGAATCCAAGCGTCTGATACTCACAGAGCTTCCAATCGACCGGTTGGATCCACCTCTGCGAGGTTTCCCAGCTGCGGATGCCTCGATCGCGACCGATGTTCGTTCGATCGCTCGATCGCACAAGGCGCCAGGTGCATGATGTCCCAAAGTGAGTGACACCAAATGAGCATGGCTATATTGCAAAAACCATCTATAACCATCTTCAGGTTAAGGTGAACTCGAGATCTCTGATCTTATTGTTTATCATTTTGGAAGAACTACTAAATAGCACTCCTCACTGCTTTGAACAAAGAGCCTCCACCCACTTCCCTTGACTGTTGTGTCCCCAGATCGCGCTCGAAGACCATCGAATACATCACCGTCCATTGCCGAAGCACAGGCTTCGTCCGGGCAGCGGAAGCAGTGGAACTGGTCATCCAAGATGGTCTGGTTAAAGATCTGGTCGTGCTTCGGGGTCTTCTTCACTCGTCGGGTCCCAGAGATCAAAAAGCGGCAGGCAGGCATGTGCGTTGATTTGGGGTGTGTTTCAGTATGCACAACTTGTTGCTTGATGCTTCGAAGGCATTCTGCCCAACATATCCCTACCAAGGAACATTAAACCCGATGATTTTCATAACATCTCAGGGGCTAGTGCAAACATGTGGCGTCCATGTACGAGCGATTCCAAGAATGTTTGCCCATGTATACTCTCCACTCCAAGAAAGGACCTGGTCTCCGCAGAGTATTTCAAGCTCTTAGAACATCCCCATCACATGGTCACCCTGCCGCAATGCGCCGGTCGCCACCCCGCCTGGCGTGCCCAACACCAGCCCGGGTCACTGGAGTTGTAGAACGCCTTTGGTGGCCACTCGGCCAAGAGAGCAAAATGAGTTCCCAAAATGCCCAGATAAATGATCGTCGCCACCACCTGTCCTGAGCAGAAAATCAAGGCGGCAGAGAGAGAGAGAGAGAGTCACCGGGGGGAAATCAACACCTGACACCGGCTTTCGGTTTGCTCCTGAGTTCTTTCCCCTTCCTTTGGGAGCCGGTGACCTGCTGACTGGTCCAAAGAAGTGCCGTGAAAATGACAGTTGTTTGACCCCAGGAAAGCTTTCGCCGGGCCTGGTTTGGAACAAGTCCATGCAGATACAAATATCAATCCATCTACAAATTTTCACATTCATGTTGCTGTTTTCAGGTCTTTTCTCTTTTGAACCCAATTCCAAAGTCAAGTTCGTTCCAAGGCGCTGATTCGCTCGGCTCGGGTCACCACGAGGTTCCGGGTGATGAGGATACCTCGTGGACCCCGGAAGAAACCATTCAATCACGAGGGAGTCATGGGTTATCATGGCGTTCGACAGGGGGCTGATGGAATCAGACATGGGGCAGCTCTTGGCAGCTCTTGTCCAAAGAGAGGACAGCAAACCCAAAGGACCAAAGGGTCAAAGACTAGTTGACCTACCATGTTTACGGACCATCGTGTGGGACTGAAAAACCGGTCAAACCATCCGATCGGGTTCATGTCGTGACCTGAACAAAGTTATAACATCGCCTCCACTCTGTCAACCTGGCACGGGTGGCTCGCAGCTAAACCCTGCACCAACATCCACAAAGCCATTGATCAATCAACCAACACTCTTCGGCACGAACATCAACATCGGCCAACGTGATGTGTAGTCTGTAACCAAGATAGATTTGTACATTATCCTGGCAAGAGACCTCAAACAGTGTGTCTAGAGGTTTAAGGTCTAGAGGTGTAGAAGCAAAGGGTCTAGAGCTCTAGACGTATTGGGTTCCAGAGAGATCTAGAGGTCAAGAGTCCGAGAGGTCTTGGGATGTAGAGGCCCAGAGATCCAGAGGCGTAGAGAGGTCTGGGGGCTAGAGATCTAGAGGTCTCTACGTCTAGCACAGATCCAGAACAGAACTTTGGGTCTAGAGAAAATAAAACTCAGGTAGGTCTTGAAAAATCTGAATGTCCAGAGCTCTAAAGGTCTAGAGTCTAGAAATGATCCAGAGGTCTAAAATCTAGAGGTCGAGG